ATTTGTCATTGCACTTTACTATTAAAAGTATCATTGTATATATGCATTATTTATATTTATTTAGGGATATCTCTTAGTTTCACAAATTTTCTTACTGATATTATCCTCAGAAATATCGACAATTTATGAAGAAACTTGGTCATGTTGATGATACATTAGAAGAACTTGGGATATCGAAAGAATATCGTAGAATGCAAAAATTTATAAGAAAGATCTTGATTTCGTGGTTTCTACTAACTTGCATATCATGGATTATTGATTCTTTATTGAGCATAACAGTATATAATGATATAAAAGCCATTCTTCTTCCTTACGTAATATTTTATTCTGTATATGCTAACACCATCACAGATATAACGTTTATGCTTCTTCTGAGGTTTGCAAATCATATATTTTTATAATAATTTTACAGTGAATTATTATTAAAGTTTAGGTACTTTAGATAATTTATTTCGACAAATTCTTAGCTTTTCAAAATAAATACACTAAAGTATAATATAATATGAAAGGTTTAATTGTTTTATATTAACCCTAGAATCGTAGTATCACTTTTTTGCCTCCTAATAGATGAACGGGATACGAATGTACCCATTCTTTATCATAGTGTAAAATATTTGTATGTGAATTTAAAGGTTCAAAAATAGGTCAGTCTCGTCGTCTTTTAACAAGATAAAGAATGGCGTTAATTAAATTCAATTTTCTTAATTGGAAGTTAATAAAAAACTGTTTTAAACAAAAAAGTGCCAAAAAATGACATTCATACAAAAATAGCTAATTTTTTTTCTAATTAACAAAAATTCCAAAATTTCAAACACTGTTTTAAATAAAACATATTAGGCTATGAGAAAAAAAATATTCATTGTTACGATCTATAAAAAAATATAGTTATTTTGCTATATAAATATCGATAAATATCATAAAGTAAAAAATGGGAAAGAAACAATAAAAAACTGCTGTAGATTTTTTTACATCTCTTTAAATATATTTTTAATTAAAATACGTAGAAATTTGATAAAAATAAATAAGTATAAGTAGAATTTTAATAAACTTTAATCACGCTCGTTGCATAAGATGCACTTAAAAAATCTGTGGTTTTCACAAACCGGTCTTTGGCAAATACAAGTCACGGCTTTTTCGATCGTCTGACCTAGCGCAAAAAACGCATCTTGTCAGCTTGCCAGCTTGCTTAAATATATTATATTATTTTAACAAAGCAAACGAAATGACTTACTAGCATGAAATTAACACTAATCAATGAATGGGGTACAAACGTAACCCCAGCAAACTTTAAATTTGTGTATCTCAGCAGCTAGCAAGTGACTGAAACGGCCGGTTTAGCCTCATTTCCAGAAAGTGAAAGTGAAATACAATCCCGAACCAAAAATGTCGTCTGTTAGCTCAGGAGCCTAGTTTGAAAATAGGCTTGAGATACAAATGTATATCCCTTCTACGGTTCTAGGGTTAATGTTTTATTCCACAAATAAGCATTTGTTTGCTATTACATATTAAATTTTCATTCTCCAAATCAATATAAAAACGTGGAAAAATTTGTAATGTATCTTTATACAAATAAAATTGTAAAATTTTAAGCAGATAAAGAAAATAATTTTTAATATTCGGATGTCTGTGTGTAAAAATTTAAATACCTTTTTCCTTAAATATTTTTTAAATTCCAGACATATTGGTAATCAACTGGATAAAATAAACGATCACATTGAACAATTGTCAGAAATAAAAGACTATAGATTAAGATGCAAGTGGAAAAGGATTCTTATTAGCAGTCGCAATGTCCGAGATGCTCAGAATTACAAGCTTGTGTTGTGGACTGTAATGTAAATTGCAAATTCTTTAACTTACATAATATAAAGAGAGAAGTGATAAATAAAACTTAACACAGTTTTATTAGATTACAAACTATCCAATACGAATACAGCTTATAACGCACTAGGAAAAATGGTTAGTTGTATAAATCAAAATTTTGGTTAAAATATACTGCAAAAATCTATTTAATTGGTACAAACAAACATCTTTGTCACTGAAGATCATACATTTTAATCAAGATATATTTAACACTAGCTATAAACAGCAAATATGACTATAACTAAACCAAATATTTTGTTTTATATAATTAATGTAAAACCAATAAAACTATACACTTTTGTTCGGTACATTTCAAATAAAATTTTGGATAAGAAAAAAACGTATTTTCTAGTGCGTTAATCTGATTAAATAAGAGACGGATGTGCACATATATAATATATTCTAAAAATAATAGATTAAGGTGGTCTTATTATCGCTCAACGCCAACTCGTTAGTTTATGTGACGTTGTCACATAAACGTCACATAATCGTATATGATACAGTCTATGCAAAATGTTTTTATTGAAATATTAGTCACATGGAGCGACTAACTTTTGACTGGGACTTGCACAATAAAACCACCTTAATAAATACAAGTATATTTTTAATAACTGCATTTGTTTATTAACGCAATATCTTTTTAGACATCTTCATTCAGAACTTTGTCGGACAGCTCGCGACATAAATGACTTTTTCGGAATGCGAATGGCTCTGCAGATGATATCTTATTTCCTTATTTTAATTCAATTATCATATTTTCAATTTTATGTGATATTATATTTAAAACAAATTATTGAAATTGATAAATTAATAAAAATAATACTTTCTAATAGCACATGGTTCACCATATTTTTTATTAAATTTATATCGTTGAATTATATATGCGAAAGTGTTAGTACTAAGGTAAACATTTTTAGTAATAATTCAAGATTGTAAAAAAATAATCTTACAATCATAAAGTTGTATAATAAATAACACAACTCTCAATCTCCGTGAAAAATTAATAATTATAAATAACAAAATTAACATTAACAGAGAGATAAATTCTATATTCAATGCTAAAATTAAGGAATTTTAAAATTTCTCTTTTTTTCATCTAAAAATAAAGACTTATTATACAAACTAATAATATATGTTAAGTAATATATATAATTAATTTCAGGCACAAAGGACAAAGGACATTATTCATAAATTGACAAATCTTATTTATTTTGTAGATATACGCGAAGAGGTAAGATAAGTTTTATATACAATCAGTTCTTAATTTATATAATCTTTATTTCAATATATTTAAATAAAGACCCCATGTCATGTAGATTTGTCAGTTTGTTTTGCAAATAACACTACGGCCGTTGAAGTTTAGCGGATTGGGTTTATTTTATTTTGGCTACGGCTTTATTCGTAAGGTTAGTCTTTAATATGAATCACATCTGCAAAAACTCGGCTTTTTAAATTTTAAAATTTCCAGTAGTAATGTTTTATTTGATGTGTCTTTTCAGTTCTTCATGTGGATGATCACAGCTATTATTTTTATGACGCAAATGGATTTTACTGATGAATTATGGTCTGAATTGAAGAGCAGAAATAATAATATATAACATGTACTACGACAAACAGTCGAAAACATATAGGAATTGTAAAATTCTTTACATAAATTATTCTTCTAACAGTTTAATATTTATGTATTTCAATTTACTACCATTAATTCTTTTAAAGTTATATATAAATATATTTTAATAAAACTTGTAGTGTAAATTATAGTTGTATTAACATTAAAAGTATCATTGTGTATATATATTATTTATATTTATTCAGAGGAATCTCATAGTTTCTTCTCCTATACAGGGTGTCTCGTAACGCTTAATTAATATTTCAAGGTGTGAAAGAGAATGAAATTTTGAACTAAAAGTTCCTCTTTCAATTTTGGCTCAGACCATTATTTACAGAGTTATTAACGAATAAAGTTAATCAATCAGATCGCGCTTAGCCGGAGTACGCAGGAGCAGATCGGAAGAGCACACGTCT